GTGACCCTCTCTCAGATTTGTTCATTTTGTAATGATATCTTTATTCTCTAATTTCGGTGAATATTTTTGTAATTTTTGGTAAAAAGTGATATTTTCGACTTCTTGTTGAAAACCGCAAGTCCAATTGCTTTGATATTACATATATAGGTACTACATGTGGACCTCTCTCAGATTTGTTCATTTCATAATGATATCTTTAATTCTCTAATTTTGATGAATATTTTTGTAATTTTTGGTAAAAAGTGATATTTTCGACTTCTTGTTGAAAACCGCAAGTCCGATTGCTTTGATATATTATACATATAGGTACTACATGTGGACCTCTCTCAGATTTGTTCATTTTCTAATGATATCTTCTGTTCTTTAATTGCCATGTGCATTGCTAACAGCGGAGCTATCTCAGCCGACAGGCTGCTTGTTTGTATTTTTATGTACTGCACCCACAATCGTACACAGTGTCCTCAGAGACAGTTTCATTAATTAATGTGATAATATACAGTGTTATAGATGCACATTACTTTGTCTGCAATACCGGTATTATATCCAAGGCCATCTATGATCATATTCACATTTATTTTGCCTTTATTTATAAAACTTTTACTTTACTGATGGTTGATTTTGAAATGTCTCTAGAATTATTGACAATAACTTTTATTTTTAGGTATAATCAAGAAACTCAGCTGGGCAGTAGTGGATTAGAGGCTCACTTTAAAGCGGCTAACATCTCAGGTAGGTATTTGAGAGAACTTATGCCAATAAAATTGTTGAAATCCCATAGACAGTTAAATTATTGCTTGCATTTATATAGGGCAATGAATATGGAGATTTTAGAGAGCTGTAGTTTTTACTTTCTGTACAACAATTTAAATTAGAAGGCACTGCACAGCTACAGCTATACTTACAATGACAGATCCTGTCTGATAGTGGTGAAGAATCATTCCAAAAATTCTTGTCTCTATGGCAACTGATTCAGATCTTTTTCAAAATAATATTGAATCATTGTCATTGTCTCAATGCAAAAATAAAACAACTGTTGATGATGTAATTATGCTGATTTGTTCCATTTCAATCTAGGTCCACCTATGCTGAGGCGATTGGAGGGAAAATGCTTTGATTTAATCAATGAACAGTAAGTTTAAATATGTACATGTAAAAACATTATGTTATGTCTATACAAATGAGTTTTACATAACTGTGTGCCCCACCCACACTGCTGTGTTTTAAACTAAACATTTTGAAAAAAAAAATTTATCTTCTACAATAGCTTTTTGACAAACTGATGCACCAATTGGATTCTTGAAAATTTGTGTGTTTTATTTCAGATACAAATTTGTACTTTGTCCATTTCATAATGTAACACAGCATGAGCAGTCTTTACGTTGGAATCCTTACAGTGGAATATTAGGGTATGTACGTGTTTCTTTCACATAATCTTCCATATATGGCAATAACTTTGCACATTACCTTCTACATCACTTTCATCGGATTCTGCTGTGAATTCGCCCGTTTTTAAAAAAAAATTAAATTGCACCAGGAAAATCGTTTTTTGTAGCAGTTTTTTAAGTTTTTAGCTCCGCTGTCGACTTTGTCGAGCGGAGCTTATCATATGAGTGATTGTCCGTCTCCGTCGTCGTCGTCGTCCGTGTCAATGTTTTACTTTTTCGACTTCTTCTTGAAAACTACAAGCCTAAATGCTTTGATACTTGGTGTATATGTACCGTGGGTAGACCTCTCTTAGGTTTGTTCATTTCATGTTGATATCTTTAATTCTCTAATTTTGGTGAATATTTTTGTCATTTTTGGTAAAAACTGATATTTTCGACTTCTTGTTAAAAGCCGCAAGTGCAATTGCTTTGATATTACATCTATAGGTACTACATGTGGACCTCTCTCAGATTTGTTAATTTTGTAATGATATCTTTAATTCTTTAATTTTGGTGAATATTTTTGTCATTTTTGGTAAAAACTGATATTTTCGACTTCTTGTTAAAAA